GCGCTTAAACTGTAAAATTGGTTCATTTCAGATGTCATAGCTCATCATGTTACACTGAGAGAAAAATCTGAGGTTCGATTTACAATAAGAAAATAGTTGAGGCAGTCGGATTATTTTTCCCAATCGGATTTTGGCCAAGTAGAGTGCAGTGGACAACATCAGGATGTGAATTGGAGAAGATTTGTACAAATTATGTTAATAGAATAGCTCGATTTCCATAGCCTGTCAAATATAAGATTCTATCTGAAATGAGCCGAAAAAATGAAGAGCTACTGCAAAATATTCAGGTAAAAAAAATGAAGAACCACTGCGAAATATTCAAAAGTTAGGAGGAAATATCCGAAATAAAACTGTCGGGTAGCCTCAAATACTGCGCTCTGATTGGTCGCAATCCGATTGGGAAAAATAACCTCCCAAATAAGTATTTGGGAGAAAAATACCTAAGTATGAGGTCTCAAAATTATTAGGGTATTTTCCACTTTTTTCCCTCCCCGAGTAAATGTAGAGATTTCTGAGCGACAGGAGTCGAGGGTCCCCATATGGTCCCCGTGAACCTGTTGATCTGGCGTCAGATTCTCGATTTGCCAATAGAAAAAAAGTGGAAAAAAACCCAGAATGGTAGAGCTTTGGGACAGGATGACGCAGAAGTGTAGCTGTTCGACTGTCGGTTCTACGTGGAGTTACCCCGAAGGAGACTGGAAATATAACTCTCTGCGGATGGTGGAATTATGCTGGCTCTGGAAAAGCGATAAAATAAATCATGCCTCACTCCGGCCCCAGTACCAGCTACACCATGCTCGTGGACACGCCAATATCATTCTACTCCAACTGCCTTTTCTTCCGCCAGTACTTTTCTTTTTCATTACACGTCCCTTCTCTCTTGCTCTCTCGTGTGTGTGCGAGGGTAAAACGGCACTCTCCAGCATCGCCCTGGACTCATACACGCGTAGAGGCAAACGAAACTTCCCTCGGGAAATCAGAGAAAGATGCAGAGGCCACTGGCATGGAAAGTCTCCCCATAAACTCGAATATATGCATACCACTATTGCCTCTATATTTTCCGCGCTCTCTGCTTGCGTTTGATATTGAGATTCGTTTCTTAATGTCTATTTAATGATACATTCGCGGAAGGCCGATGAGTTGTTCAGAAGGAGCAGTATATTCTCGGGGAATCCTGCTCTGATAAAGAGGAGAATACATAATCAATCATCTTGGATCGAATTGGGGTTGCATTCTTCTGGAATAATGAGGGCTTCATATTGTGGTGGAAAAACGTTTTCTTTTCGTGTAGGATAGGGGGTTCTAGGGGCATTCATCCCCCACAACTCATCCCAAATAATTTCTTCTCACATCAGTATCGTTCCTAGGATCTATTTATAATGGTTATTCCGCAGTTACGATAATACTTCAGAAGAACTAGAATACTTAATATTGAAAAAAAACGAAATTTGTTGTTTCACTGAAAAATTTGATTCATCCAAGAAAATGATTTATTCAAATTAATTTGTTTTCTTTATTTGAAGTACTATTTATATTAAATAAACGATTTTTTATTATTAACATATCTTTATTTGATCAAAAGAAATTATTTATTAATACGAAATGAAGATTTTTCTCTTATTGAGAAAATTTCGTTATTTGAAGTAAATAAACATTTTCTTCGAACTCACGGGGAGACTACTCTGAGTTTTCAAATTCCCGGTCCATTGGAATTAAATTTATCAAGCATTGAAGATCGATTATATATGTAAAAAATCGATTATATCTGTGGAAAAAAAATTGTAGAGGGCCTGCAATTTTTGAGCTACACAGGTTTTTTTGAAAATTTTTTTAAAAGAAGTATATAATAACAATTACGAGTGAGTTTTTTGAAATTCGATCCCTACACAGCTAATTTTGTTACTCAAAAAATTACAGCATTTATGTAAAGTAGAAAAATGATCTTCAAAATATTTCAAATATATTCTTGATTCTCTCAGAAATATTTTTCCGGCTATTTTACCTGGATGATACAATTAATTATATTTTTAAAAAACGAAATTAGCTGTGTATGAGTCGAATTTCAAACAGCTAGCTCATAATTGTTATTGCACACCTTTTTTCATAATTTTTGAAAATAGTATATTTCGTCACTAGGCCGAAAGAAACTTTTCTGGCGAATATGAGTTTGCAGCCCGAGCCGAAGGCGAGGGCTGCAATCATATGAGCTAGAAAAGTTTTTTTTGGCCGTATGACGAACAGTATTTTTTGTTATGACGGCCGTAGGCAGAAGCGCTGCCTCACGGCCGGAATGACAAAAAAAGCTTTGCAGTTCAAAACACAGAGAGCTCTGTACTTTCACAATTTGACCCATACGCTTTTCCCCAAATTCGTTCTTTATAATACCTCAATGTGAACGGGGTGTGCAAATCGAACGAATGAATTTTTTCAAAACACATTATTACTTTTACGTCAGGGGTGCGTTTTGCCCGGCGGTCTGTTTTGCCTGCCTATTAAATTGAATCTGGGATTATATAGCTCTTATGGACCCAATGTATCATTTTTTTTTAATTTCAATTAATTTTTTTTTAATTTTATAATTTTTTTCATTCGGAAGCAACAACAAAAATTCAAAGTTATTTGTGGTTTGAGGTGATTAGCAAGTCTAATCAAATTGCGGTTCTGCGACACTTCTTGTCTATAAAACTCCCGTGACGGTTATGGTCCAAGAAATTCTCTTTTAATTCAACCCATTCGTGTTACTGATTTGAAGGAAAGAAAAACATTGGCAAATAGAAGAAAATGTTCATGACAAAAGTTGTTCCTTTTTGTGTAATAAATAATGATCAATTTTTTAAATCAAAATCCATCAATCCGTTGCCGAAATGTGGTCCACCAGGTGAACGCGGGAGGATGCGCGGCGCGCGCAGTCCGCTCGAACCTCTTCCGTGTCACGTATGCACCCATTTTCACATCATTTTGATGCTTTCGTCATGGATGCAACAATTGAAGGAGTAATTCAAAGAAGATAATCCTACATAGAAGTCAAAATTCAATGAAATGAGGGTGAAGCGAGCGAATGATCGATCTGTACAACTCCACACTGTTACTTGAAAACGAAAAAAATACTCATCCGCATTCACATATCAATTTCTGACGATCGCGTTTCAATGATCAATCGGAAGCGAGGGTAAATGAATCAATTAACACTGTTGTTCAATCTTGTCTGACATCTTTGCTACAAACTCGGGTCTTCAACTCGGGGTTTCAATTGAAGGCCCGAGTTGTAGACCCGAGTTTGTAGCAGCGATGTCAGATAAGATATGAATGTTTTTTTGGGCTCAAACGAAAGAGCGGGTCGAGAAATGGCGTGCTAGGACCTCTAAAGATGGTTTTGAACCAGGGGAGACTCCTAGACCCCAATGTTCTATACATACTCCTAGACCCCATTGTCCTCCTAGACAATGATGTCACAACTCTGCTTTTCAATTGAAAACAGATATCATCTTTAGAGACATTTGTCATGTTTAGAGGCTCTAGCACGTCATTTCTCGACCCGCTCTTTCATTTGAGCCCAAAAAAACATTCATATCTTGTCTGACATCGCTGCTACAAACTCGGGTCTACAACTCGGGCCTTCAATTGAAAACCCGAGTTGAAGACCCGAGTTTGTAGCAAAGATGTCAGACAAGATATGAATGTTTTTTTGGGCTCAAACGAAAGAGCGGGTCGAGAAATGACGTGCTAGAGCCTCTAAACATGACAAACGAACGCCCACCTGACATTTTTAATACACTCACACCATGAATTTAAAGTGAATACTGCACAAAGAATGAATGTCATCCAGAATTTATTTCTCGTCAATAACTTATGATTATAAATTTCCTGTCACCGACTGATAGAACTCAATAGTTAATTAGCGAATTCAATACTCCGGCCCGAAGAGACTCTGAAAAAAATCACGTATTTAAATGTGACGAACATTCTCTTACGAGGATCGGAGGAAGACTGATTTATCGGAGTATTTTCTAAACGTCAGTTGACTAAAACAAGAAGAAACAAGAATATTTTTGCAGCTGTCCCCTCCGAATTTTCTTGGAATTGAAAATTCGCAGAAATAATCCAAATAAGTATCTCTTATACTTGGAGTATTAGTGTTTTGTGTGTTTTTGTTTTCCTTTCTATGTACCAATACATGAGTAGAGGTCGTTTTATCTGAGAAAAATGACGGATTGATGAGCATTCAGAGGACGTCGAGCGTCCCACCCATCTTCGCGCGTCGCGCATCCTCCCGCGCCCACCTGGTGGACCATATTTCAGCAACGGATTGATGAATTTTGATTTAAAAAAATGATAATTATTTATTACACAAAAAGGAACAACTTTTGTCATGAACATTTTCTTCTATTTGTCAATCTTTTCCATAAAAAAAAAATCATCAAAAAAACCACTTAATTTGTTTATAACTATTAATTGCACGCACTTACATAAAAAATACCACCGGATTCGGATTTCTCATACCCGAAAACATAAGAAAACACCTCAAAACCTTACCGCACTAGAAGTGCCCACGGGAAGGGGGTATTGCGTGTGGACTATTAATATCTCCTAACGATAAAATGAAGATTCCACTAGCCGAACATTTTTCCGTCCTCCCTAAAATGAACGAATGACTATATAACCATTTTGGTTACCCAGTAGGTGGTTCACATTGGTAGGGTGTACCAGATGGTTACGTAATTGCGGTCGTCGGATATTGCGGGTTAAGAGACCACGGAACCAGGGGAATATGGGAATTTATATTAATTCGATTTTTACCGGAAGATTAACGTGTTTTCCATAGGACAAAGGATGTGAAACTCCTTACAAATTCAATTCCCTGATAATTATGGCTTGAGGAGGACGAGAAGTTGATGTTGAAATTAATTTATGCGAAACATTGAATCTGGTGATTAATTAAATGTTTAATGGTACCTTATGTCTCCCTGTGCAGGTGTTTTCCGAATGATAAACCGAGCGAGGCCGAGGGCGTCCCGCGCAACAACTCCAGTAAGTAATTTAAATCAACTTAATCCACTTCAATTACACACTCGAGAAGACGGCATAATGACCAAATCCAACTGGGGACTGAGTTTCGTTGATTGTCTTGACAATTCGTTTTTCACTCACTATTCTCCTTTTCGGTGGGGGAGTGCGAGGGAAAGAACTTCTAATTATTCAGATATTTATTTGTCATTTAACGTCTCTAATTATGACCGCTTTCATATGCCCTTCAAACAGTGTTGGAAAAAAATTGAAATTTCATGGACAGTCGACTAGGAATTTTCAGGATAGTGACATTGAATGCAGTTTGAGGGGGAAATAATTACAATTATTTTCCAATCAATTAAAATTTCAAAATTATATTTACTGAAATGTTCCTGATTTCTACAAATTTGCAGGGAATAATTCCACTGAAATTTACAGTTATCAGTACTCTTCCATGAAATTCCGAATTTTCAACGATAAAAATCCTCAAAATCTCAATGGAACTAAAATGTGATAAAAATTCCCAAAAAGTGCATCGGAAATTTGAGCCAAAATTTTTCACCAGCGCAATTTGGATTCGTCGATTTTGTGCGTCGATGGGTCTCCAGAGGTTTAAGAATTCAAACCAGTGCACTGATAGAACGGATTAGTTATTGTTAACGAATGGATTTTGGTTGGAGGTTAGGGTCTATTCGGTCCCACCAAATGTTCATTCGTTAATAGTTAACGAATGTATATTTGAGGAGCCTTGTTCGACTTGACTTTTGCCATTCAAGTGAACCATTCATTAACTATTAACGAATATTCATTTGGTCATATTCAACTCTACCATTCGTTAATAGTTAACGAATCTCGTTTGGAATAAATGAATCATTCTATCAGTGTACGAGAGCCTGATGGCAGCACAGACTTCTAGGATAATTAAGTCAAACCGTCTAGTTGACAGGCCTCCATTGTACCCGGCAAATGGCCTGTTTAGTCTGGATACACGCTGCCACCCTCCCACCTCCACTTGGTTCGCCCTCTTTGTGATCGTGCACAGATCCGCTTACCAATCGATCATTCGACCTCTTACCCTGCCAGCGCCCGGTGTTTCCATGTATATCTTTCATTGATGCTATTCCTCTTCCATTTTAATTGCATGTGGTCTTCAATGATTCAGGGGATCGATGTATAATATCACTGGGAGAAAAATTCAGTTAAGGTTAGTGATGTTCGCTAAAGGTAAATGACTCGTGGAGTTGGATATGAATGAGTGAACAGCTAGCAACAGTTAACGAATTATTCAGTTCCGTTGGTAGAAAGTTTCCCGTCACATTTGACGGAACACTACAACGAGATTTCCATTGAGTTGTATCGGCAAGTTAAATGAGAATTGAAATTTCGAGGTAACGCATTAGCGACGGAAGTGAATTGTGTTCCAAAGGTCGGAGTTGGAAAATGGAGGCATTGTGATTTAGACAATTATTATTCGGAGAGAAAAGTTATGGAGTAATTCAGAAAATGTGGCAAATTTTATTGTCCAAAACGTACTCGTGCAGAGAAATGTAATTCAATGAAAAATCGGTTGCGTGAAGGGAATTGCAATCGGTGGAAATTAACTAACTGTCACCTATCGTCCTGTGTTAAGTGGTGATTAGTAACAATGGACTTGATAAAGAGAAATACGTAGGGTAACTAATGACGTTTTCGTTAGTGGAGGCTGCGGCAACAACACTTATCAAATCATAAAACAATATCGATTCAAAAAATTATTTGAATAATTAGTGCAGGGAAATGAAAGAAAAACATTGTATTTTTCAATTTTTGATTAGAATCATTTTTTAAAAATGTGATATGGTAAAATTGCATAATCTTCAATAGAAATTACGCAAAAAACCAATACAATTATTTAATAGAATGTTCACAGAACTCCAATGAACTTATAGAGTTTCGATAGAAATTTAGAAGATTCAGTGGATTTGTAACTTGATGAAAATTTCCAACAAGCGCACCGGAAATTCCCAACACTGTAAAGTAAAAGAAATCTACAACGAAATTTTTCTCCACAATTACAGGACTTTCTTAGTAATTTTTCCCCAATTTTTTTTCCGTCCCATCTTCAACTCTTACAGTAATATTAACGAAAGCACGTGGAAATATTCCGTCATTTTTTTTTCGTGTCTAGAATTGCTTGAAGAAATATTCAGTTGAGCAAACTGCGATCCAAATAATTGGACACGAACCTCTCGACCAAGTCAGTTCAATGTTAACAACTATAATTCCGTCCAAGCAACTGGAAAGTAATTCTGAGCATCGCTAAAAAAAGTTCCTTCAATAATAACGAACCACTTGAACTGGTAACGAAGGATGTAGCTGCATAAGAGCTTTTGATGGATGGGTCATTTGTGAGACGAGAGCCATTGAAAAGAGCGTTCGTAAATGTCTGACGAATCGTTCCTCATTGTGGAGGAACGAAGATTCATGGAAATGTCTCTCTTGCGGTCATCCTCATGACGTTTGGTGTCACCTGAAACCTGAAAAGTATCGCTGATTCATCGCCTGATAAATATTCATTTGTTCTGGCCTTTTACTTCCAAATATCACGGACGAAAAAATTTAATAGCAAAACCTATCGAATTCGTTAGAAAATTCTATTGAATTTCTATTGAACTGTTCTATTAGTTTTTGGCCGATTCTATTGAAATGTTCAATAGAAAATATTCAGTAGAAAAAGTCAATAAAATTCAATTTTTCTGTATAACTATTATATTCTATTGAGATATTTTCTATAGAATTTCCTCGGCTCAAATTTCCTAAATTTTTTCGTTTGATTTTCTTGATGAGAAGAAAAGAAAAATAGAATGAAAAAAAAATTAGAAAATTTGAGTCCAGCAAATTCTATGGAAAATATATGAAAAGAATAAGTTATATAGAAAAATCGAATTCTGTTGACTTTTTCTATTGAATGTTTTCTATTGAACATGTCAATAGAATCAGCCAAAAACTAATAGAAATTTAATAGAATTTTCTAACGAATTCGATAGGCTTTTCTATTACCTTTTTTCGTGCGTGGTACAACGGAGAGAAAATTTGGATAAAAATTACCTAGAAAATCGTTACAAATTTTACTATACAAGATCGGCCGCGCATGCTGCGCACGCGTCCTCTCATCTCCTCACGTAGTGGCGCTTCGGTTTCAGTCTTACGCTTACGCTTATTCGAGATTTTCGAGATACTTCGAGATCGATTTCCTTTCTCCTTTTTACGATAGGACAAATGGTATTCGTGAAGTAATGTGAAAAAATGTAATTCAGTGCAAAAATACTGATTATTAGTGGACATCTTACGATTTTGTCGGTAAAAAAAAACACATCTATGGATGCAAAAACTGCCCTCCCGTTTAGTAAAATTTCCCACACCGGCAGACATCGGCATAATCGAAATGTTGAATTACAGTTAAAGTTGGAATAAGTCAATTGTTAATATTACTCACCAATTTTTTCATTCTAAAAATAACCATCAATTTAAATTTTCAAATTCCGAATTATTTTATCAATCATCAATTGAAATATTCAAATTCCTAATTATTTTATCAACCAATAATTGAGAAATTTAATCACCAATTATTGTATTTTTTTTCAAATCTCAATTACGATAAATAAATCAGTAGCGAAGTGGTAAAACGGTTTACGTCGACTTATCTCCCAGTTGAGTTTTTAAGAATATTTCCGAAAAAAAATATCCTCGAATTTGAAACTGAAATTATCTGCACATTTAAAATCTCCCAGTGTGAAGGCAAGTGGTACACATCACTTATCTTGCAGACACCAACACAGGGAACTAAAAATCCTCCTGGGATAGCTCCGGATGATCTTTCTCTGTTCCTGCCCCACCGGATGTCGATTTCCCACACTCGTTCAATAATCGAACGGTAAAATATTTGTCAACGTGGCTTAAACAACTTTCGACTCGAAGATCCACCTCTAGTGTCAAGACATGTTTAACCCTGGAAAAAGAAGGAAATGGGGGGATGTTCATAGGTGTGTGTAGCTGTACAGATCTCCTGGACCCCATGGGACTAACCCTCGGTTTTTCTGGGCTTGGTCACATGTGATTGAGAGCCGGTTGCACAACAAACCCCCTTTACCTTTCTCTGGTCCCTTTTGATACGGGTTAAATTAACCCCCTGGACTTTTCTCGCAGATATATACTTTTGCCACTGCCCCTTGTGCCTCTTTCTGTCCTACAGGGGTTTCCAAAGTTGAACAGGGGGAAATGCTTCGAGCGCGTCAATCGTTCTTTTTTTCCCAGATTTTTTTATCTCTCCCGGTGGATTTCATTCCAGTTCTACTCTGGTTGATTCATCAAAATTGATGACCACATATTTCATTCATTGATTGAATTATTTCGAAATAGAAGCCCGGAGCTTCTGTAAGGAGTTTTGTCTGTATTTCTCCGGGGATCGGGGGGGACGGGGTGGGGAGTCTCATTGTTCTCGATCTCTAAGTCAGTAGTGAAGTGCTAAACGGAGATAAGTCGACTCATCTCCCAGTTGAGTTTTTGAGGAATATTTCCGAATCTAAGGGAGATAGCGAAATTTTCGTAATTACATTTGTTGTAGCACTCAATCGGCTTCACAAAAACGGTTATAACAAAAATTTTATTATCTCCCTTAGATTCCGAGATATTGATTGAAAACTGGTCAATAGTCAAAATTGACTTATCTCATTTTACCACTTCGCTACTGAATTCAATCCCTTAACACGAAAATTTTCAATTTTCAAGTAACTATTTCATTGCGCATTTGAACATTTCGTGAATATTATTTTTTGTGAGATTAATGGATTTTGTTTCCCACTACACGGAGAGAAATTCTCCAGAAAAATTCTAATACTAGTACCGAAAAACGGGCGTTGAGTGACTGGCAGGGAAAAAAAACCAGTGCCGGCACTGGAAATTTTATTGAGTAGCTCACAGCAAAAACGAACGTCTGAATTTCACACACCTTTTGTAGACATTTTTCAGACACGAAAAAACGT